ACACACCCTTAGCCCCAGCATCACACAGTCCAGCTACAGCCAGCTCTTGCAGAATGAGGCTTTGAGGGAACCATAGCAGGTGGGTAGGAGAAAATGGATCACACAGATGGGAAATAGGTCATTTCGACAGGAAGTGGAAGGTATAAACAGAGGCAGAGTGTATGTCCCTGTATGTCCTTGTGCACTGTATGTCCCTGTGCGTTTGTCACCTATGCTGCAGAGGCTTTGGTGTGTAGTGATGCATGTTCCAGCACAGCTTCCAGAGGCGAAGGGCACCCACTGGTCAGGTCACAACTCCACAGCAGTTCTGGTTTGACCAGGCTTCCGTTTTCCCTCAGCACCACTGCTCACACTCTTGGCCGGTGGAGCAGGGCACCGTTAGTGACTTGTTCCAGAGAATGAAGGTGAAACACAGCGTTGCTCAGAGACTGCATATGGTGAGGCACAAGGACCAGAGCCCAGGCCACGCCTGCCGACCGCAGCCTGGATGAGACTGTCCACACCTGATTTCGTACTCTGTGCCAAGGACACCCGTTTCACAGGGCTGGTGGCTCCTCCTCCGGCACTTGGCCGAGGTTGCCTGTGCACCCTCTGCAGACACACAGGCCACATTCTTGAGCAGCACAACGTGACTGGCCGGCAGCCTGCTCTGTCAGGGTAGCACTAAGGCGACCTGGACTTTGGGTTCCCTTCTCTGCAGCGGTTAGTGCCAGTTCTCAAAGGCTATTTTAGGGAATTCTGGTGCCGTTTGGGCATCCTACATCTGAAAACTCAAAATAGGAAATGCTCCAAAGCTTATCGAGCACCAACAGGAAGCCACAAGAGGAAAATTCAGCACCTAATTTCATGGAACGTGTCGCAGTCAAAATGCAGGTGCACTAAAAATATAGAAAATTACCTTAGGCTGTGTGTAAGGTGTGTATGGAACATAAATAAATTCAGCATTTACACCTGGGCCCCAGTCACAAGGCATCTCATTATGCATATGCAAATATCTCCAAATCGGAAATCAAAACACTGATTGTACCAGCATTTCAGAGAGCATATTCTCAGCCTGTAATGGGATGTACTTCATAAGTTGATATGAAGTCCAAATGTTTAAGAAAAATATTTTAGCAGTATTGTTTTGCATATTATTGTTCATGTGTAGCATATTCTGAAACCTGAGAGTTGACCTTGAAATTATATTTTCTATGACTGCCAGTGTCCGTCGGATGGCTTCATTGAGATGTTCTTTGTAGGATTTAGTATTGGACTTGGAGAGGTTGAGGGCTATGGAGGGCAGTACAGGGGTCTCTGGCTTGGGATGACAGTGCTGCCAGAAGTGACTAAGGCATTAGCTCTCTGCTAAGGGGCTTTCCACCTAGCAAGTTGTTATTGGTTTTTTATTTTAAAATTTGTATTTTTAGAGTACTTTTATTATTTTTAGTGTACTTTAATGTCACATCTAAAAACTTCTCCTCTAATGTTAGGTAACAAAGGCCTTCTATGATTCCTTCTAAAATGTTGTAGTTTTGCATTTTACATTTACATTTTGCATTTTTACATTATAGGTTTCTATGATTCATTTTGGGATTAAAAAATAAGGTATGATGTTTTAATAAACAATTCCATTTTTTGGCCAGTGAATATCCAGTTGTTCCAGCATGAGTTTTATAAAGGATTTCTGTATTAAATTATTTTTTCACCTTTGTCAGAAATGGACTGGGTGCTATTGTACGTGGGATTGTTTTCTTTCTTTTTTAAATGGAATTTTTTCTTTGGCTTTTGTTTTTTGTCTTTGATTTTTTGAAATGTAGCTCAGTCTGGCTTTGAACTCCTTGCAATCCTTCTGCCTCAGCTTTCTGAGTGCTGCAATTGCAGGTTTGTGCTGCAATTGCAGGTTTGTGCTACAACAGCTGGCAAATTGTTTTTGGTATATAGAAATGCCACTGATTGTTGTATGTTGATTCTATAACCTGTAACTTAATTTGTTAATCAGTTCTAAGAATTTTTTAGTGCAGTCTTGGAATTTTTTTTTCTTTTTTTTTGGTACTGAGGACTGAGCTAGGGTCCTTGTACTTGTGAGGAAGGCAGCAGAACCACTGAGCTAAATCCCCGGCCCAAATCTTAGATTTTTTAAATGTATAAATGCATATTATCAGCAAACAGAGACAATTAATTTACTCTTTATTTCTATGGATGACTCTTATTTTTTTTTTGCCTGTTTTTCTAGATATTACCAAAATAAAATACTGAGAAATAAAGTTAGCCAAGGATAGGAAAACTATAAGATGATGAAAGAAATTGAAAACAAATAGAAAAATATCCCATGTTTATGAGTTGGAAGAATCGTGTTTAAGGAATTGTTAAAATGTACATGCACTCCAAAACAATCTACAAATTAAGTGCAATTCCTATCAAAATTCTAATATCATTTTTACAGAAATAGAATAAGAAGTGAAAGAAAATGAGCTGAAACAAGAGCACCCAAGGTAAAGCTTTATTGGGGGAAAGAGCTGCTGGGGAACAGTGGTGAGAGAGAGGGTGAGACTAACTGGGGTAAGGTTTATGCAGGGTGGTGCAGTGTGGAAAGTGTCTGAAAGTTGAGCAACAGGATGTCAGTTGATTGGAAGGGGAGGATCATGTGGGTAGCAGGGTAGGGCAACAAGTTAGGTTTTGCATCTCCAAAGGTGGTAGGTTTCACTTTTCCAAAGTGTCTCATTTCCCTAAGTGGGAACCATTTTAGGAATGAGAGCCATTTTAGAATGTAGGACCACTGGGGCCATTTTGTCTGGTAGAGAACTTTATCAAGAAGCACTAGAATTCATATGGAGTCACAAAAGATCCTGAATAGTTAAATCTTGAGTAAAAAGAACAAAACTGAATTCATCTGATTGCCCAGTTACTTTTTTGAGTCTTCTAATTCACAAACATAGTGTCTTTGCATTTATTTAGAACTTTAGTTTCTTTCATCATTTTCTAATTTTGTCTTACACACCTGTTCACTTTATATCTAAGCATTTTATTTTGCTTTGAATGATTGCAAATCCTAATTTCTTCTAACTTGTTTCTGTGTATGCATAACCTAGTATTTAGAAACAGTTGGATTTTTGTATCTATAGCTTCTATATTGTCAATGGCTGAATTTGTATATTCCTTAGGATTTTTGTTGGTAGACTGTATTATCTGTGAGTAGGTCCAGATTTATTTCTTTTCTTCCCACTTATATACCTTTCATTTCTCTTTCATGTCTTGCTAGTAGTATGCTAAGTAGCAGTGGCCCAAGTGAACACCTTTTTTGATTCCTTGCTCTGGGGGAAGCCTCTGTCTTGGATATTAACTGTGATGGGTGGTGTCAGTACAAATGCTGTTTGAGAGAATTCCTTCTCTTTCTAGTTTGCTTCAGTATTTTTTATCATGAGTATATTTTGGATCTTACCAAATGGTTTTTCTGAGACAATTAATATGACCATTTGCTTTTCATATGTAGCCTGTTAATAAATAAATTATATTGCTTAATTCCTTCTTTAATGTCAATCAGCTTTGTGTTTCTGGACTAATGTCCACTTGGTCATAGTATAAAATTATTTTTATGTATTGGTAGGTTCCATTTGATGATATTTTGTGGAGGCTTGCTGTGTCTCTGTTCATGAGAAAAGTTGATTTTTTTCAGTTTATATTTTTTATTAGTACATGTTTGTAATACATCATGATCACATTCCTTGTAGGGAGTTGGTACATGTACATAACACATCTTAATTACCTTTTCATCCCCTTCCCTGTATCTCTCGATCCTCTTCCCATTGAAAAACCATCTCTCTACTTCTATTGTTCATGTATATAGCAGCAGAAGTCACAATAGCCAAGTCATGGAAGCAGCCTGTATATCCATCAACAGATGAATGGACAAAGAAAAAGTGGTGTTTCTATACCGTGAAATACTACTCTGCCATAAAGAAGGATAAATTTGAGTCACTTTTAGGAAAATGAATATACTATGAGACCATGATGTTAAGTGAAATAAATGGGACACACAAGCTTAAATATCATATAGTCTCTGTTATATGAGAAACCCAAAATACAAATGCTAATATGTTTTTGTACTCTTTCTGCTAGTTTGATATCATGGTAATACTAGCCTCAAAAAATGAATTGGGAAAACATTATTCTTATTAAAAATTTCTATGAAAAGAATCATAAGTGAAATTCATATATATATATATATATCAATAAAAATGGTAACAATTCATGAGAATTATAAAGAGAGGAAATAAAGGAAATACTTCAGAAAAACTGAAAAGTGATACAGCTGTGTAAGTACCACAGACACATCCTCGCCCTCTAATCCACAGTTTTATCTTCCAAGCTTTTAGTTTCCTGTAGTCAACTGCAGTTCAAAAACACTAACGGGATGTTTCAGAAATTAAAAACGTGTAAGTTTGAAATAACTTTATTAGAGTGGGTTGCTATAATTGTTCTATTTTGTTTACTGTTGCTTATTGTTGTTAAACTCTTACTGTGTCTGGTTTGTAAATTAAACTTAGGCATAGGTATATGTACCTAGGAACACTCAGAAGGTGTAGGATTTGGAGTCAGCTGTGGTTTCGGGCACCCACTCAGGGCCTTGGAGGTATCAGCATGGATAAGGAGGACCCCGCTGTATTTTCTTTCAGGTTCTCAAATGGCCTGACCCAGAGATACTAATGAAAGAATACATCTGTACCACAGTTCTTCATTAGAGAGATAATTTTAAAAGGTTACCATGAAATTAGAAAGACTTTTTAAAAATTAGATTATTAGAAAGAACATTTTGAAATGTTAGCACTAAATGTCACTTTTGAAGCCCCGTCGAGATATGTGTCTTGAGTCAGAGGCAAATTATCAAGCAATTCTGTGCTTCAGAAAAACAAGCTTTATTGTATCAGTGGCCTGATCACAGAGGGTACGCTTCAAGTATGGAGTGGGCACCTGCACGCTGTATGTGTGAGGGGTGTTCAAAACCTACAGCACACGTAATTTTTAAAATGAATGACAATAAAAGACACATTGCTGTGAATCCTTCTCAAAATACTCTTTCGTTCACACTTATCCCATCGTTTTTGCCGTTTTTGAAGCTCCTCTTTTGTCACAAAGTGTGATCGAAGATACTGTGAATGCTGCTGTCAAGTTCCATCCAACAGAAAGGCAGTGTGAAAGCCTCATGGTGTGTCCCCATCCAGCCCATCCACCGTACTCACCAGACCTGGCACTGCGTGGCTTCTGCTCTGCCCTGAAATCAGAATGACCGTGAAAGGTATTGAATCAATTTAGAAAATCGACACAGCCAGGGCAGTGCAACTAAAGACTCACAGAAGAGACTTCCAGAAATGTTTGAGAAAGTGGCAAAATGATGGACCAAGTGTGTTCAAAGTGAGGGGGAGAGTTTGAGAGGGATTCATGGCAATGTGTCTTTCACTGTAATAATTTTCTTAAATATAAATGCTCACTGTATATTCTGACCACACCTTGTGTGTAGAAAATATTTAAATTGAAGTTCAAAAGATAAGGCGGTTAACACAGAGGAAACGATGATTGAAAAAGTTAGCGGTAAGTAGTAATTGCATTTCTTGTCCATGATGACCACCGGTCCTGGCTATGTCTTATTTATAGGTAAAAAATCAGTGACATTTTTGCAGGGTTCTACCTTGCCTTAACTTTTTCTATGGTGACCCGCACACAGAGAGTTTTAAGAAGGTCAGACCAGCTTGCATTTCCTTTAGAGTTGCTAACGTATGAAAACACTAGTGCTAACAGGTTACCCTGTTAAATATGGATTTCAGATAAATAACAAATGATGTGCTAGTATAGTATAAGCTTCTCTCAAATATTTCATATGACATATTACAATAAAACATTCATTGTTTATCTGAAATTCAAGTTTCACTGGATGTCCAGTATTTTATCTAGTAGCCGTAAGCTTTCCTCCATGTGTTTTTTGTCTTGGAACCTTGCTTAACTTTGATCAAGGTAAAAGCAGATGATATGAGGGGTCAGAATTCTTTAGCAGTTATTTAGCAAAATTAGACATCAAAAGAATGAGAAGTCTGACTTTTCTGTATAGGTGACATTGAATTGTTTCTGTCATTGGTGCCCACAGTAAGGTTTGCATCCCTGGGTGGGACAGTGGGGAGGCTACACCCCTCCCAGTAATACTGTCTGCCCTGCACATCAGTGCTCATCACACTTACTATTTGCAGTGATCTCTTTTCACTCATCCTGCCAGCATCTCATTATTTAGAAAGCTTCTTACTCATCCACACATCCTCCCCTCAGTCCTATTTGCATTTACCCTTTTAGGCTGCAGCCTAAATTAGTGTCCACACACTGCAGACAATAACTTTATATGCATCCTGGGTCAGACATAAAACTGGGTTCAGTTTAGCCCCTGGGGGCTTTACTTAGATGCCCACCATTGTGAGCTTGTCCAGCTTGGACTTGATGGTTGGCCTAAAAATAGATACTAGAACCCTGTCAACACCCGCCCACACTATCAGATCTCAGCAAAGGAAGGCCTGAGGACAGCTCTTTGTGTCAGAGCCCCGCCTCCCTTCCATTGTCTTCTCTTTATTCTGATCCAAGCAACAAAACCTCACCATGAGGTAGAACCACATTGCGAAGAGCAGTATTCCTTTGTCTGTTAGAATTTGTTTCACCCTAAAACCAGGTGATGCCACCATGTCTTGCTTGTAAGCTTGGCTGATTTTAGGGCACTTGAGGCCATTATCAAAGCTAAAGATTATTTCTCCTTTAGGGGCCAAAAACTCTTTAAAGTCAGAACAAAGCATAAGATGTTTACCTTCAGCCAAAACGAAAGCCTCCCATGGCTTCCCTGTTTCATTTGTAAGATCCAGAAGAATGCAGGGCTCTGTGTGGAGATGAGTTGTGGGACCGATCTCCAGGTTTCTACCATTTCCAACTGCATTTACTTAGAGTATATAACAAGAAGGGAAAAGAGCTCTTTACGTCATAGCCCCAGCTTGGACTCAGAGCCACCTCTGCTGCATGGTCCAGACCATACTATGGGCCTCCTCTAGAGCTGCGCCATTTCCAGCGGGTGCCACTGATTGGCTCTGACACAGCACCAGGAGGGTAGCCGCACAGATGCCCCTGAGCACCGTTGCCCCACCCACCTGCTATTAGATCCACTGACTGAGCCAGTCCTTGGACACACTGTGCAGAGGCATGGCAGGCTATAAAGGGTGGTGATCGATCCTATTATGTTCCTGATTGTATCGATAGGGATAAAGGATAGGGATTGATTTGATGAGTTGTTTTCTCAATTATGAAAATGAGAATGTCTATAAGTCATTAGAGAATCAAAGACTGGGATGAAACGATATCAGGAAGATTTAATGACCCAGAGATAGAATCAAGGGCAACCCAACAGCAAAAATAAAGATGAGAAAACACTTAAGCCACAAAAACAGACTTCCAGTCCACCAATGGCAAACAGTAGGACAAAGGAGGATGAAAACTCATATAGTGAACCTCCAGGACACTCAGAACTCACAGCACATGAAGTAACTCCCATGACCCAGAGATAGAATCAAGGGCAACCCAACAGCAAAAATAAAGATGAGAAAACACTTAAGCCACAAAAACAGACTTCCAGTCCACCAATGGCAAACAGTAGGACAAAGGAGGATGAAAACTCATATAGTGAACCTCCAGGACACTCAGAACTCACAGCACATGAAGTAACAAAATTGAACAATCAAGCTCTAGAAAAATGACCCAGAGATAGAATCAAGGGCAACCCAACAGCAAAAATAAAGATGAGAAAACACTTAAGCCACAAAAACAGACTTCCAGTCCACCAATGGCAAACAGTAGGACAAAGGAGGATGAAAACTCATATAGTGAACCTCCAGGACACTCAGAACTCACAGCACATGAAGTAACAAAATTGAACAATCAAGCTCTAGAAAAATTCAAAACAGAAATTATTTCCCAGATAACCATAGAGATGGTGAGCAAAATGAAAGACATGATTGGAGACTCCAGAACAGAAACTGACAAAAAAATAGATGAGCTTAGGAACATAATAGAAGCCATGAAGGCCCAGCATAAGAAAGAAATGCAAACAATGAATGTCCAACATAGGAAAGAAATGGAATCCATTAAACAGATTCAAACAGATATACAGGAGATTAAAAACTCTATTGAAAGCATATTCAACAGAATAAAAGATTGCGAAGATAGAATCTCATGTATAGAAGATAGGATAGCAGACAGTGACCATGAAAAGAGAGGTCTCAAAAGCAGTAAGGGAGCATGAGAAATCGATCCAACAACTCCTAGATAATGCAAAGAAGAATAACATAAGACTGATAGAACTCCATGAAGTACCAGGAGAAAATGCAAATGACTTAAAAAAGCTGTTCAAAGAATTAATGACAGAAAAATTCCCAAACAGAGGGGAAGAATTAGACATACAGATAAGCGAGGCATATAGGACACCAACTAGCCATGATTTAAAAAAAAAATCTACACCTAGACATATAATAATCAAGATCCCAGAAACCAAACAGAAGAACAAAATACTACAAGCAGTAAGAGAAAAGAAACAAATCACATGCGAAGGAAAGCCCATCAGAACCACAGCAGACTTTTCAACACAAACCCTCAGGTCAAGGAGAGCCTGGAGTGAGATATTTCAAGTCCTAAAAGAAACAACCTACAACCAAGACTGATGTATCCTGCAAAACTCTCTTTCAAAATGGACGGAGAAATAATATACTTCCATGACAAAGAACACTTGAGAAATTTCATGAATACTAAACCAGCACTACAAAGAATTTTAAACAATATCCTAGAAAAAGACAACGAATATCACAACACCAGGAGGCCCAACAGAACAAATCAAATAGCCAAGACAAGAAACTAAAAGGAGAGGATAAAAAATTTAAAAAGAGTCAACAAAAGGACAATAACATGACAATAATGTCAGTACATATCATTTATAACTATCAATGTCAATGGCCTCAATTCACCAATCGAGAGAAATAGATTGGCAGAATGGATTAAGACACAAAATCCAACAATATGTTGTATACAAGAAACACACCTAGTGCAAAAAGAAGCCCATAGACTGAAAGTGAAAGGATGGAAAACAATTCTATATGTGACAGGAGCCCAGAAAAAAGCAGGGGTAGCAATCTTATTTGCAGACAAAGCAAACTTCAAACCAAAACTGATTAAGAGAGACAAAGAAGGCCACTACATCCTTGTAAAGGGAACAATCCAAGAGGAAGAAATGACAATCATAAACATATATGCACCAAATATAAATGCCCCAACTATATAAAACAAATATTAAGTAACATGAAAAACCAAATAACCACTAATACAATTGTAGTGGGGGATCTGAATACCCCACTATCACAAATAGACAGATCATCTAGGCAAAAAATCAACAATGAAATACTAGAACCGAACCAAGCTTTTGAACATAGGGACTTATTAGATGTCTATAAAGTGTTCCACCCCACAAAATCAGAATATACATTCTTTTCAGCTGCACATGGGTCATTCTCCAAGATAGATCACATACTAGCTCACAAAACAGGTTTGAATAAATGCAAAAGAATTGAAGTTATTCCCTGTATATTATCAGATCACAGTGCAATCAAGCTGGAGATCAATAGCATAAGAAACCTTAGGAATGTCACAAACACATGGAAATTGAACAACACTCCTGAACAATCAGTGGATCACAGAGGAAATTAGAGAAGAAATCCGACAGTTTTTACAAATAAACGAAAATGCCAATACAACATACAGGAATCTGTGGGACACAATGAAAACAGTTCTACGTGGAAAATTCATAGCACTGAATGCCCACATTAGGAAAACAGAGCAAGCTCAAATAAACAACCTAACAATGACTCTTAGGCTCCTAGAAAAACAAGAGCAAGAAAAACCAAAAGGTCAAACAAAAGAGGAAATTATAAATATTAGAGCAGAAATCAATGCAATGGAAACTAAGAAAACAATACAAAAAATAAATGAATCGAAGAGTTGGTTTTTTGAAAGAATATATAAAACTGATAAACCCTTAGCAAACCTTATCAAAAAAAGTAAGAAAAGGCTCAGATTCATGCAATCAGGAATGATAAAGGCATAGTCACAACAGATCCCACAGAAATCCAGAGGATCCTTAATACATACTCTGAGAACCTGTACTCTGATAAAATGGAAAACACAGAAGAAATGGACAGATTTCTAGATATTTATGAATTACCAAAGTTGAACAAAGAAGATAAAAACATTTTAAACATCCCAATCATAATCAGTGAAATTGAAAATTAATTAAAAACTTACCAACAAAGAAAAGCCCAGGTCCTGATGGATTCACTGCTGAATTTTACAAGACATTTAGAGAAGACCTACTGCCATTACTCTTCAGACTTTTCAATGAAATTGAAAAGGATCAGCAATACTGCCAAATTCATTCCTGGAAGCAAATATCACTTTGATTCCCAAACCAGGAAAGATACAGCTAAAAAAGAGAACTACAGGCCAATATCCTTAATGAATATAGATGCAAAAATCCTCAATAAGATACTAGCAAACAGAATACAGAGGATCATCAAGAAGATCATACATC